ATTCTCAGTTTCGCCATACTCTATTTGAAACCAATGATTTCTTCATAGCAAAAACACTTGGATTCGTATAGCATAATCAATCTAATTGCAATTTAATAAAATTTATCCATCAGATTTCGAATATATTCTTATCACAGAACACAAATCAATTTTTTTTTCCATTTTAACCAGTCATGAAAACTATGTTTTCAATTGTGACTATTATTTGATATTCAACAACACTAATTAAAATTAACATATATTTGTATGACGATCCAAATCTAAAGATGCACTTTATTTAGATTTGTTCAATAAGCTGAAATTAGTTTCGTGAAGGTGAACGGAAGCAGTCACTTCCCACTTCTGAATGTCACAACGAATGTTTTTTTGGTTTTATGTTACTAAAAACACTTGCTTCAGTTTTCAACGCACCAGAGTAAAAGGCGATAAAAATTGTCATTGCCCTGGCTAGGCAAGTTCTCCATAGCTAGGGCCAACCAAAGGGCTGAATCTACCGCATCATTAGTATTAAACCATTTCAGATTCCACTTTTAAAAAATGGTAAAAATGCATAAACGATGCCGTTGTTGCAATTTAATCTTTCATCAGCGAATGGAAATCCAATCCGGAAATTGTAAACTGTAGTCAGAACCGGTCATCACGGAAGTGGTGTGGTAATGGTTGCAATAGTGAAGATTTTCTAGAACATCTATCATATGGATACACGCCATCCATTAATTAGCAGGGAGCGATCTAGCATATCATCATCATCATTAACCTGCCGCAATCCTCTTTCTTTGTTCAAACTTGTTAAGAGTTGAGTTAACAAGCATTTAAGTACAGCATTTCTGCTCTAACATAAATAATTGCAAGCATTTTAAGGTGTTTTTCATGGTAATACAAACTTAAAGAAAAGCAAATAATAATTGACTCTCTTAATATATCAATTAGATTCAACATTCCTAGTTGTTTGAGTCACGCCCCGTTTAAGCCCCCTTCTAGTCACCCATGAGGCGTAACAAAGATGGACAACCTAAGCAGACTCATTTGCCACCAACACCCATCATGAATTTACTAATAGAATTGAGCGAGTGAAAAATAGTTCTACTAAATCGTAACAAAATATATCTTATCCATTAATAGATTTTCTCATACTCATTGGTATAGAAGCGTGCACAATTTAAACCATCAAAAAATATTATAAAGCTTCTAAGACTTTCATAGAAAATTTATACATATGTGAAGTCTTTAATTCATATCATGTTTATTTTTCTACATTACATCCCGTAATTATACATCCACCGATAATCCAGGGGTACAAAATAATTGGGTTAGCTACCTATAGTCCCACTTGTACAAGAAGAAGGTAATAATATGCATGATGAACTTTTGACCTAAAATGAGCATTTTTTTTATAAATATAATTAGCTGAATGTAGTGATAACTTCTAAGAAAATTGGCTTTGAAATTTAAATATATCAGACATAATTTCAATCCAATAGCATGAAAAAATGTAAGAAGATTGAATGCATCTGTAAAATTTTAGATTATGAAATGCATGCTACTTATCAATTTACTACACCGTTTTCATTTTTATTTTCATTAACACCCATTTATTTCCTTAGAAACGCCATATAATATTATAGGCATTTGACACATTAATATCATTGTTCGTCATCTAACTTGTCAGCCCAAAAACCACTAATAAAGTTTGGACAATCCAAAATGGTAATTATCAATGAACCATCGACCTCAAGGTTGAACCTTATAGTATCAACTTTCTAGGATTGATAGTTGTGAATCTTTTCTTTTTCTCTATAGAGACTCGTCTCGTTATAACTTTTACCTCCTGCGCAGCTCATCATAGTTTGTCAACCTATCTCACATGTCATGACTGTTCATTAACTTCTTTCAATTTAATATTATCATCATTCATATTTAAAATTACATTGTTTAGCATCAATAGTCATATTTTATCACTTTTTTTCTATTTAACATGCATCAATGGTCAACATGACAAGAAAAATTCATTATCTATGCACTTCAATAAAAAATTTAAACATCTTTGACTTAAAATATCTTGAATTTCTTAAAACAAGTGACCTCATAAAAATTCATTACACTTATTAAAATCATCATGTCATGCTCAATATGAAGAAATACTTGCAATTCAATGAAATTATAGAATTTAACAATTATTAAATCCTAAGAAATATTTACTCATGACGTTAGAGAATGAGTATCTCACCTAAATTATAAGATCATCTTCTATCACATGGACATCTTATTCTTTCGTAAACAACCTAATAAGATTAATTTTTAAAATTTAAGATAAATTCTTAATTTGCCTCATCGAAACTAAATTAATTAACATTAAAAAATATTTACATCATTGGTCGTCATCTGGCCCATCGGCTTTACAAACCACTAATAAAGTTTGGACAATCCAACAAAGCAATTATTAATGGCTCTTCGACCTCAAGGCTTAACCTAATAGCATCAACTTTCTAGGATCAATAGTTAAGAATCTCCTCTTTTTTTCTATGCAAGCTCATCTCATCAGAACTTCTACCTTCCCTGCGCAGATCATCATAGTCTGACAACATATCTTGCATGACATGACCATTCATTAACTACTTTTAATTTAATATCATCATTATTAATCTTTAAAATTATATTGTTTAGCATTAATATTAACCTGTTATCACTTGATCAATTTAACAAGCATCAAGGGTTGACATGACAAAAAAAGTCAATGTTTATGCACTTCAATGAACAATTTAATCCTCCGATTTAAAATATCTTAAATTTCTTTAAATAAGTGATCCCATAGAAATTTATTAGACTTATTAAAATCATCATTTCATGCTCCATATAAAGAAATAACTATTTGCAATTCAATAAAATTATAAAATTTAACAATTATTAAGTTCTAAGAAATATTTGCTCTTGAATCTAGAAATTGAGTAACGCACCAAAATTATAGGATCGTCTTGAGAATGAATATCCTGATTTATATCACCTCAACGTCTTGCTCTTTCGTAAACAATCTAATAAGAACAATTTTCTAACTTTGAGATAAATTTCTAATTTAGCTCATCGAAACTAAATCAATTAAATTCAAATAATTTTTTTGACTCAAAGTGCTTTCTCCTTATTCAAACCTTCAATCCTTATAAACTCAAATCAAAACTCAATTTGTAAAAGAAAATATTAAATTAGGATTCTTACCAAATGTTTTGATTTCTCTACTTCCCCTTTTCTTCATCTTTCTTCCTCTCCCTTTTCCTCTTATTCTCCTTCCCTTTATCTTCTTCTTTCTTCTCTTGCCCTTTCTCTTCTTTCTTTCTACCCCTCCTCTTCTTATCTTCTCTTCCCTTACTCTTCTTTTATTTTTTCTTCCTCCCCACTTTTTTTTTTGTTTCCTTCTTTGTTTTTTGTACCAAACTCCATTCTCCCTTCTTTTACTTTTTTTTCCTTCTCCTCCTTTTCTTCTTCTCTTCATCTCTTCTTCATCTCCTCTTCTCTTCTTCCTTTCTTTCCTTTCTCCTCTTCTATTCTTTCTTTCTTTCCTTTCTTCCATTCTTCATCCTTTTTTTTGCTTCATTGTTACATGTACCAAGAGCTCTCCTCCTTTTATGTCCTATTTTCCCTCCACATGCCAGTTAAGTGGAATGGGATAAGGATGATTTAGGACTAGCATGGATTATTAGGCAATAATTATTAGTAGATAAGAATTAACATTTAATTCAATTTAATACTCTCCACAAATCTGCCAATGCCAAAATGGAAGGATGGATAAGGATAAAAATGGAGAAGGGTGAAATTGGAATAGATAGGAGTAAGCATGACAATTGATCAATTATGTAATTAAACTATCCTACAAACTATTCCTATCATTAATTTATGGATTTATCCTCAGACGACAATGAATTTTGGAATATTCCATTTTTTTTCTACAGCATATTAATTTGTGCAATGCTAAAATTAAAATGAAACTTTAGGAAATTATATAATTTTTAAATTAATGTATATATAATATTATTCTTAATTATTTGTATATACTTCTACATATCAAAACGATCAAAATCAAATGTAAAATTATATACAAATAGTTTCGATGATTTTTGAGATGCACAAAAAGTCTGGTATAGTTTTAAAAAAAAATTATCTCGCATTTTTTTGATAAATTTGAGTGTTACAGTTTGTTGGAGAACGAACTCTTACTGGAGACAAGCCTTTATTTTCTAGATGTCTTCCTACAAATCGGAAAGTTGCCTAACAGTCTTCCAATAGCTATGAGTGAATTTATATGTAGTAT